AAAAAAAAAAAAAAAAAAACCCTACAGGTCGTCCATGAGTGTTAAAAAAGATGACACAGTAAAGTATTCCTAATTGCCTCACAGATTCATAAAATAAGTAATCAATATCTCAGAACTTTTTGTGGTATTCCCTGTGAAGAAAATTTTAAGGATCTGAAGTTAAAGATAGACAGCAATACAATAACAGGAGGAGACTTCAATATCCCACTTTCAATAACGGAGAGGGCATCCAGACAAAAATCGATAAGGAAATATTGGACTTAAACTACACTGTAGACCAAATGGACTTAGATATACACAGAACATTTTATCCGACAGCAGCAAAATATACACTCTTCTCAAGCACACACAGAACATTCTCCAGGACAGGTCATTATTAAGCCACAAAACAAGACTTAACTTTAAAAAGATTGAAATAATATCAAATGCCTTTTCTGACCTATGGTATGAAGTTAGAAATCAGTAGAAGTTTCAGAAAATTCAGAAATATATGGAAATTAAACAATATGCTTCTGAACTACCAATGGATCAATGAAGAAATTAAAAGGCAAATTAAAAATACCTTGAGACAAAAATGGAAACACACCAAACTTTAAGGGGTGCAGCAAAAGCAGTTTAGGAGAGAAGTTCATGGTAATACACATCCAAAAATGACAAAGATCCCAAATAACCTAAATATCACACCTTAAGACATTAGAAAAAAAGGACAAACTAAGCCCAGAGTTGGAAGAACGGAAATAAAGATCAGAAAAATTTTTTAAAGCCATGGTATTTGAAAATCTTTTCAAATTGTAATAAAAAAACAAATACTGGCAACTATATTATAAAAACTGAATTTTAAACCAGGAGTGTGTGAAACAACTAATTCATAGAAATATCTAACTGGAAATTAGCAACTGTAGCACGTTGGCAATTTCCAATTTCATTCTATTTTAAGAGTTTCTCCAAAATACACTAATAAATTTTGTAGTTGCTTATGGAAAAGAGAAGTAGATTTCATAAAAGCTACTTATTAGAAGTAGCCAATTTTGATAAACAAGGTCAATTTTTCACAAATACAATATTTTTGTGAGCAGTTAATCCTTAACATTAGATTCAGTTGACTAGCCCTAGACATCACCTTATTTAGGCATCTGTTCTTAACAACTAAGACCCATTACAGAAAAGTCACTCTCTGAAGTAATGTGAAGCTTTCTAAATGCTATCCCATCCTTTGCAAAATCATTTTATTCAGATAACATTCTGCAGGTGTCAAAGGAAAAAATGAGTGAATAGATATCCTCTATTTGCCTGGTTTTGACCATGAATAAATATGTTTAGTTGTGTATCAAGATGCCCATTAAGTGTTAATTTGAAAGAGAAGACTGGGAAACACACTGAGAAGAAATGTGCAGTTACATGCCATATCTAGTCTGCCTTTCATGGTGAAGCACTCATCAGGAGTTGTGAGCTCAGGTTCTGGCCACAGAGCTAACTACAATGACACTTAACATCTCTGGCTTTAATGTCATCATGGTAAAATTTCAGAGGGTTTGGCCGGCGCGGTGGCTCACGCCTATAATCCCAGCACGCTGGGAGGCCGAGGCGGGTGGATCACGAGGTCAAGAGCTCAAGACCATCCTGGTCAACATGGTGAAACCCCGTCTGTACTGAAAATACAAAAATTAGCTGGGCATGGTGGCGTACACCTGTAGTCCCAGCTACTCGGGAGGCTGAGGCAGGAGAAATGCTTGAACCCAGGAGGCAGAGGTTGCGGTGAGCCGAGTTCGCGCCATTGCACTCCAGCCTGGGTAATGAGCAAAACTCCATCTCA